TCTTATTAAATTAAAGTTAATCGCACTCTAAGGAGGAATTGACATCGACCTGGCTTACCCGGATTTATATCTACCATTAATGACAAACACTTGTGGCTGTGAGACGAGTATCAAAACGTGTCACCATTTTTAGAGCAACACTTGTTCTCAAAGTTAATTTTAAATGCTGCTGAGTCTTAGACGCGATTGAGACTGCAATTAATTCTGATGAGACATTCTTTCGGGAGTCAAGACTATGCTAAATTCAAGAGAATCATGAGATTCACTCATGCCATTGAGAGAAAATTCACTTACGAGCTCTAGAACAGGCGAAGTGGCATAATCTGGATAAATTTCTTATTTAAGTCCTTTTGTTTTCATAGCAGACTCAATATCTATATACTTTGCGAATAACACAAAAGTGACTGAACATTCTGAAAATAAATTTTGGACTCTTTTTAGCACTATAAATGTTTACCTTGAGTCAAATAGACCAACAATTCTTAATAGAAGATAAATATACTATTAGTGAAATGATTCCTTCTGTTCAATATAAAATTAACTTTCTATTTGAGAGCATCGCTTCAGTAATATTTTATATGAATATATTTAAAGTTAGAAATTGGTAGGTATATTTATTTTTGGCTTGTAAGGCCTTTATTTGCCCATTTTTTATCTATATGCCTTAAATTGCTCTTATTTCTTGGATTTATTGATTTATAAATTACTTTAGAAATCCTAGCTACGGGATTAATAGTGCTCGAAGTTTAGTTTATGAAATAAACTCCAAAAAAATGACAATTTCATTAATGTTACCACTATTGATATACAAGAATATAGTGCTACCATCATTTAAATTTATTTATTAAATCATTTTGGTTAGAGTAATACTAAAATGGCTAAGGTGTTAACAGTAATAATATATTAAAAGGAATATTGGTTTAACTTGGTTTGCGCAACTTGGTAGGAGCGTCAAGAATACCTTGTGAAGCGTACCTAGTCCAGTGTCCTCTACCATAGTATTCATGATTTCCAGCATTGGATTATTGACTTAGAACATTCCAAAACGTCTTGCCGGCATAGTCAGTGAGAGGTGCCATTTTCGGCACAGAGTTACAACTTATCAAAGTGACAAGTTAGGGCAATCCTCTTTACCAATTTTTAGTTCATCTGTTGTGGCATTATGCCTCGACTCTATTTTAGTTCTACCTTTTAATGCTGCATCTCTTTCGCTTAACCCACTTCATATGGCCCATACACTTATACATATAATTCTGTGCTCTCGTTTCCTCCAATGTCGCCTAGGAGTGTGTCGTCACAAATGGGTTTGGTGAAGCGTAATCATCTCAACCTTCGATTTCAGATGCCGTTTGCAGGTCTTTTAACCTTCATCAAGCCCCTTTCTACCCCGCTTGTCAATTTTCCATGCATATGCCAATATATTAAAATGAGTTTAATAGTAACAGCTTGTGCTCTTTAATCCTTCAAAATAATAATTAATTAAATATTTTTCGAATAACAAAGGTCAAATAGCAAATAGACTCATTGCACTTCTATAAAAATATAAAATGCTAAACTACAAAGGCTTTTTTGTACTTAAGCCCTAGCAGATGAAATAAGGATAAGATAGTTACTGAGTGCCAAAAGTATCAACTCGAAAAAAAAAATTAGGTAAATTACCTCATACAAAAATGGTAATATATCCAAAATGTTTTGATTAAAGTATCTTTCGACCCACATAATGCGGTTAAATTGATAGATGAATTTCTCAACAGAGGATGGAATAAAACTAGAGTATACAATACAATTATCTAATAATCTAATGTTTATCATCACGTTTAAACCTCAGATTTTTTCTTAGCTAAATACGAATTAATAAGCTGAGCTAGAAGTTCTCAAAATAGTTTTAATCATTCATCCATCCTTGCTTTATAAGATAACGTTAACAATTATATATATGCTTCTTTAAAATTCAGCTTTTTAGTTTAACGAACTAAATAATAGGTCTGAGTTATGCAATAAACAAGAAATGACGATACATTAAGTAAATTCGAAAACAACCCAGATCATGTTGCCTAAAGATGTTACTGTTAAACTTTCATTTGGATTATTTTTAAGATTTTCAAAGCTTTGTCTGTCTATCATTACTTGGACAAGTTACCACTAGTTTTATAATAAGAATGCGGAGAGAGTTTAATAAGAACGTCTGGCTCTTATGTTAAGAGTATATAAAAAATTAAAGATAGCCTATCTCATGGCAGATAATAAACACTACAAGGGAATAAGACCCGAATAAAGCATTTTATCTCTTCAATTAGAAAGTAGAAACTTGTTAGTCACGATATATTAGGCAGCCCTGCAAGATAATTTCTTAGTATAATAGCTGCGAAACAGCGTTTATTTATGGTTTCCGGGATTAAGATAAACCAATTTTTGAATTGGTATTATTATTATTTACCGTTAGCTCAATAAAAATAACTTTCCATGCTTGTTTTTAACATGTAGTTGAATTTTATCATAAAAGTATGTTTTTAAAAGTCTTACATCGGTTGGAGCACAGCAGTGGATAATAGCCACGAATTTCGCTAAAATGTATTTTATTTAGATTATATGCCTTCATATAACAAGGAATGTTCACAGCAATGGCATAATGTAAAAAAGTTAATTGGAGTATTGGATTATTTCTGTTAATACTTACGGTTTTCGAAGGCATCCGGTCTAGCGCATTTTTAAATTAAGCTTCCCATCAGAAACCCTACTAAGCTATCATCTATAGTGATGGATTAGGCTTAGAACCTCAACCGAGGCCAATTTCCTATTGATTTTTCATCACTTCTATCCCATAAAGATCTGTGGAATGTAGTCCTGAGTAAATTTTCCTGGAACTG